GTCATGTAATGGCGACAAGTCATTGTCGCCTCTTTCATTCATATGAGGAGTACCGAGGTCCTCACATCCTTCCCAAGCTTCTTTCACCCCACCATCTTGTTTTCGCAGCTGCTCTATCTCCACCTTAAAATAATGCTCCATTGAAGCCAGTGTGTTGCGGAATCCTCCACACACTTTTTATTTCTTTCAACTTTGGATGACTCTTTCCGTACCGTTTCTTTCAACTCATCCACTCTGTTGCGAAGCGCTCGATTTGAACTGGCAACTTTGGCGAAGTCATCCTTCATCCTTTGAAAGTCACACTTCAAAGTGCGTAACTCAGTGGACGCCATTTGACCCTGGATTCAGTTAGAATGCAAGTGTTACAATATTTCCAAAATATATCGGAACAAAACAGCAGTTAATTTCCTATTGTATTATGACATATATATTGGAAAATAGATAATGCTTGCCTTAGAAGATGACGGAAGGCTTGCAGTTTCTTCAATGTCCTCATCTTTTTCTTCTACAGAGGCAGACGTGCTGGTTTTTTGTTCAGCTTCATCGCCAAACAACTGAACAAGTTCTTCAGTGTTGTCAACACTGTCACCCCAAGTCCAATACGGCTGCTGCTTCTCAATTACAGATGGCCGAATAAGTTGCACATCAACCTGCAATTTACGCAGACAATAGACATATCAGTAAACTGATTATATTAGAATTTCATATGCCTAAGATTATCATTACAAATTGAACTAACCTCATGATTCTCGAATACTTGGCTCATTAGCTCATAAAAACGCGGCAAAGTGTTGCTCCTCCAATGTAGTATACGAGGGATGTAGGCATTACGTTCGTGCACCACCAAATGTAGTGCAGCCAACGCTGGAAATACCTCATAAGCCCAAATCTGGTTTGAGGAAGAAAAGCCTTAGAGATCATATGCTATAAGCTTAAATAGGGCATGAAAAGCCAAGCATACAATAAAGAGAAATAATTAGCATGTTTTAATTGCAGTCTAAACCTTGCCCTATGATTGACAAAAGTTAAAAGAAATACAGGCATCTAGAGATGCATAGAGACTAAAAGTAGTTCAGGACATAGTTTTCAGATCTGTCAATCCCAAAAACTTTTGGCCGCAGGCGATCAAATGGTACACTTTTGTGAGCTTAAATCAAATCATTGGCACAATCTTGGCAATGAGGATATGAGAGTTTCTTCTATTTTTCTGTTTTGGCTTTTTATTTTTTATAATTTTGTGTTCTTTTCATATTTTTTTATCAGTTGGTGAGATTCAGCCATTGAGGATATCTTTTCTCTACACATTGGGGGATATCTTTTCTCTACACATTGAGGGATGGCCCCATGGGTGTTGAACACAGACAGACTTGCTCAGTACAAATAGTAAACATGAAGAAATGCAGTGAAATCAGGTGCTCAGATCTAAACAACCAGCAAGCTTGATACCAACACTACACCCACACACCCACCACCACTCTCACTTTCACTGAAAATTCATTCCTCTCTCTCTCGCTCTCTCTTTCTCTCTCTCTCTCTCTCTCACAAAAAAATATCTACCAACACACACACACAAACACAATATCATTAGTCAAAAGAATCTGTCAAAAAATAATAACAGTGGGCAGAGTTCCTTTTCTTTGTCTTCATCCTTCAACAGCTAAACCAATCAATCCCCCCAAAAAGTAATAATTACAGAAAATAAACATGAACTCATTACTCTCTCCCGCTCGCGATATCTCTCACTCTCTCTCTCTCTCTCTCTCTCTCTCTCTCTCTCTCTCTCTCTCTCTCCCATTAATGTTTTAGAACCCATTACTGTAAACAAATGAACTTTAACTAAACCCTGGAAAATTGCTCACCTGAAGTGCAAAGGCAAAACCCTTGAGGTGGTACTCTCTTGGTCTACCAGTTGTCGTTGTCTTTACTTTCTTTTTAGATTTTTTTGTTTTCGCAGCTTTTGTGGGCACTTTCACTCGCTGGTAATCTGCACAAAGTGCCCTCAGAAGTGACGCATTTGTCTTCGCATAACACACAGCACCCCATGGATATTTCCCAAACTCTTCAAGGTCTTCCGCCAACTTCAAATGTCGCATGTCAATGTGGACATGTTTTTCACTGCCCAACAGCACAAACACAGCGAAGTATACAAATCCGAGCTTCAATACATCCTCCGCATCAGCGCAGTCGCGGAAGGCTTTTTCTAATTCCAAAAGGCTGACTGTTTTATTGTTGCCAAAGTAGTTCCTTTTCAATGAGCAGTTGTCATTACTGGGAATGGGAATAAAGGGAAGGTTTCCAAACCTTAGCCCTATGACGAGGCAAAATTGCTGCGGTGTGAATTGGATCACCTTGTTGCCAACGATGAATTTGATCCCGTTCACTTGGGAAACAGTCTTTGGATCAGCCTTTCTCAGCAACAATCCGTGTACAATTGGCGACGTCCACTTCAAGTCCTCAATTAGTAGGAAGTGACCAAAACAACTGTCTTCGAAGGTTCGTAGCTGTTGCTCACTGAATTTCTCCTTTATCGTACTAATTGCACTCTTTGTATGCGATAGGGCCAATGCTTTTCCTTGGAACTTATCTTCCTCTCCAATCATCAACTTCATTCGAGAAACCATCTTTCCCTGCACGTCATTATTATTAAAAAAAATTCAGTCTGTTGCAATCTGGACAATAACAAGCAATACACAATTCAACGGCCTATTATAGGATATTAAGTGAAAAATAAACACAAATTACAGCACATAAACAAAACCCCAGCTATTTACAACTGACCTATTAATTCAACGGCTCAAACCCCAGCTACTAATTCCTGCACGAGGCATTTCCATCAGTACAACCTTAAGCGGATAAATAAAATGATGTGTGTATCGAAATAAATGCAACAGCCACTACAAGTACTCCAAAGCAAACAGATATCTTACTAACAAAAGTGTTACACAGTGGTGAAACAACAGAGTTATATGCAAATTACAGCACATTAACCAAAAATAGGCAAAAATAATGAAAAATTGGAAAATAGGAAAATTGGATAATTGAAAAAAAGGACACATGGAAAATAGGAAAATAGGAAAATATGAATAACGGAAAAATGGAAACGAATTGAGATTGCTGAAATGAAAAATAAGACAATAACCATATTGGTCAATTTGAATTAGTTGGTGAATTAGGCAAATAGGCAAATCCCTTATTTGTATTACATAATGGGAAAATTACCAAATTCAGAACATCCAAATTAGAAATATATTACAAAAAGGCATAAAGTCAACTATGTAATAACTCCCGCCCAAGACTCCTGCCAATCTCTCCCGCCAATTACTCCCCCCAATCCCTCTCGCCAATAACTCTCTCAGTTACTCCAGGTCATTAAAACCTGCCTATATTAATCAACCCAGCTGTTTGAAATGAAAACTTCCATCACATTAACTCCTGCTTGCAGCCATTTCCTTCCCCACTGATTTCACTCACATCGCATTTAGTCCCCCTTGTTTCCAATTAAGTCCTACACCAGCCTACAATAAATATCGAAGACCATGGACCATAACCTCACACCAAACCCAACACTTTCAATTACTAAAGGAGGGGAGACTGAAATAGAAGCCAAGTCACCCAATTCACTCACTGCAGACTTGGTCCATGGCATGCAGCAATGTCGAGGCAATACCATGTTTTGGAAAAATCTCCATGCAGACATAGTTTCAAAAATTGTGGTGGGCCAAGCTAGATGGGGTGTCATAAAAAAGTGCACAATTCGCTCTCGTTATCATGCCCGCATGCATTTCCTACATATAAAGGCAATGAAAGGAAAAATTGAAATTGCCCCTGCCACTGCAATTATGGTATTCAAGGAAACAAAAGAAATGGCCAAGTTGAAGCAACAACAAGTGGAAAGCGGATTCGAACTATTTCGTAAGTTTGCAAAAATAGTGGATCCGGCAGGAAACTGGGGCAACATCACTGTGCCTGTGGTCATGAATTTCATGATTCACGGTCGCCGCACTTGAAGAGTATGCAACTTCGAATTTGTCAACAGTAGGGATATGAAACTATGAAGCCCCCAATCTTTTTGTATTATGTAACGATGGGGTGGGCTGTTACTGTATTATGTAAGTTTGGAAATTGGATTTTATGGAATGATGATGCCTCTTTTTGTATTTGTGCGTATACAGTTTATCATGTCCAGTTCAGTGGCGATATAGCAGCAATAACTATACAATAAACATGTGTATAATGGCAATATTATATCAATAAGAGCACAATAGAGTAATAATAGAGTTACAATATGATCCTAGACGTATTGCATCAGAATGTTTTGTATATTAGTTGGTCCAAAAAAATACAAATAAATAATAAACAAAAAAGTAATTACAAACTGGAAAAAGGATGAAGTATACATCCCTTAAAAGACATATGGCCTACATTACAGACCTTCAAAATGAACTATATATATATATATATATAATGCATGCCTCACATCCCCCCCTAAATTACAGAAACATGACACCCCAAAACCTCATGCTCCTTCCTCTTTCAACCCCTAAATTATCCATTGGATGCCCAATACTAGATGACTGCTTGGGGGGTGGAATACCCTGCAACTCCATAATAGAATTCGTAGGGGAGAGTGGTTTCGGGAAGACGCAGCTTTGTCTCCAACTTACGGTACGAGCTCAACTCCCACCCTCACATGGCGGACTAGGGGGCTCCTCCGTCTACATATTCATAGAATTCAGCTTCCCATTTCGTCGATTGCAACAACTAGGCAACCTTTATCATGCATCATACCCCAACTTAATAAGGTTGGAGCCATTGGAAGACATATATGTTTATGGCGTTCATGATGCTCAACAACTCATCCATGTCCTTGGAGACATAGAAGCATTTATTGCCATTGATCACACCCGCCTACCTGTGAAACTCATTGTCATTGATTCTATTGCTACATTATTCCGATCACAGTATCAGACAACACCGGCAGATTTGAAAAGGCGGTCCGAAATGTTCTTCAACATATCCGGGACATTGAAGGGTTTAGCACATAAGTTTGGGTTGGTGGTGGTTCTCACCAACCAAGTGGTGGATTTTATTGGGCCACATGATGGAGTGAATGGGGTGAGGTTGGGAAATTTGGAGTCCCTGGACATATCAGGCGGACGGGTGAGTCCAGCTTTGGGACTGGCTTGGGCACATTGCATACATTCAAGAGTGTTCTTGGCAAGACATGAGTGATCTATTGGGGTTAACATTCGTAATGCACCTTCAACAACTATATTTAGTGAAACACATAGGACATTTCACCTTGTATTTGCCCTACATCTAGCCCATGCATCGGCCGAATTTGTAATCAGAAAAGAAGGTATAGTCGGTGTATCACGGTAACTGTGTAATAAAGGAATCTTAAGCACTTTAATGTTTCAGATCCATTTGGAATTACATTACAGGGCCTTTAAGTTCGCACTCACAATTTACATTGCAATGGCAATACCAGTACAATATAATAGCAATCTGGAAGCAATACAACATGCTGTAGCAATGCAACCCAAATTATGCAAAATTAAAATAATTCTCATTCAACATAACACGAAACCCACCACAAATAAAAGTAAAGTTTACATGACCTACAAAAGTAACACAAATCATATTGTCTAAGATACATTGTGCAATGGAATATTGTTTTTACAGGTGCTTTTATTGTGGCCTGCGGAACTGCACCTTGAGCACTTTCTTGTAATGGTGCCCTCTCCTTGTGAGGGAATTCTTATCATCTTTCGTCTGCCTGGCATGACCCTTGCCATGGGAGGTAGCAGAACTTAACTTCAAACATCTTCAGGAATATCCCACATTCCGTGAGGCTATACTAGGTAGATGCTATCCGACTAAGCATCCATCCAAGTTTTCCGAGTGTAATACCGAGAAGCCTTTGAGTATACATTTACATTCAAGAAGCGGCAAAGTGCAACTACATGCTTGCAAGGTAGCTGCTCAAGCTGAAACTTTCTACAACTACAATTGTTGTTCGTCAAATCTATGAGGCCGTTCATATCACCGTCCAAAACATTAAACTATGCGTTATTTACTTTAATGACATTCATCCTTGCAGCATCCTCCAACCTATTCCTCAACTTCTTCTCTCCAAAATTGGGGCACAATGTTGCTGTGCAATTCAAATCCAACTCACGACGTTCGGTGAACCATTTCACAAGGAGATTAATAATTTCCCTTATCAAATGAACCACCGGCAGAATCCTTGGAAACTTAAGGACTGAGTTGATTGACTCCGCAATATTTGTTGTCATTACATTATAGCGGCATCCATCCATGTGAGCTCTAGACCACTTATGTAACCCTACCTGTTCAAGATGTTGAGCAACATGTTCCTTTCTCTTGATCTTACGAAAATGACAATCAAATTCAGCAATGGAATAAGATTTCATAGCCTGCTCAAAGTGCATAAGTATTTGATCATGCTTTTTCAACCCGCAAGTGTGTTTCATGTTCCCCTTCATATGATAAAAGCATATGCCATGTTGCGCAGTTGGAAACACTTTGTTCCACACATTCTCTATGCTAACATTGCGATCAGAAATAATAACAAGATTAGGACACTCACCAATGGCTTCATAAAGTTTAGTGAAAAACCAATGCCATAATGCATCCGTCTCCAAATCCCCGATCCCAAAAGCAAGAGGATACATATTTCAATTACCATCGAATACATTTGCTACAAACATAAGGCCCTTGTACTTGGATTTTAAATGAGTGGCATCTACGGCTATCACTGGGCGCATGGAAAAACGAAACCCTCTAATACATGCGCCAACCGCCATAAATAAATACACAAAGTGATTGTTCTCATCAGTTTGGATGTGTATTTTTATGCCGGGATTCATATGCTCCAATTCATAGCAATAAGCCGAAAGGATATAATATGCCTCCTCCGCTGATCCTCTAATGGATAATAGAGCTAACTCCCTTGCTTTCCAAGCTTTCGAATAATGGATGGTGAAACCAAAGTTGTGTTTCACATCTCTCATAGTGTCACTTGGTGTGTATATTGTACGAGAATCCTTAAACTTCCTTTTAAATGAAGTGGCTACAAGTGCTACGGCTGCTTAACGATTGTTGTCACTTATGAACCTCAAATCACATGCATGGGCAGTTGTTCACCTCACAATCATGAAGCTGTATTCTCCAATTCTCGATGCTCGGACCCACCATGGGCATGGACGTTGACAACAATCCACAAGCAACCTCTTTGTGCAAGACAATTGCATCTTAAATTCAAAGTGGCCTCTTAATGCTGTCAACCATAACTCCGTCAACAATGCTTTCTTACTAGAGAAAATTTGCCCAACTGTAATTTTCGAATTCCAATCACTTCACGAAAACCCGCTGTCCAAATATGCTTCTCCATATTTACACCGGCTTCATTGTACCGGTTCTATTCACTCATTTGACTCCAATAATGTTCATGAGTGGGTTCAGATTCTCCTCCTAAACACATTATTGGCAATTGGGCAGATGTAAGCAGCCCAAAATAGGAGGGGTAGAGTACACTGACACTTCATTTCTTTCAGTACCATTATCACCACCATGCACCTGCTCCACCTCGCTAAAA